CTAAAAATCAGCGCGCCGCCGGCCGTCGATTAGATTTTTTAAAAATTGCGCAGGCGGCCGATATTTCATCGGCGCACAGATCTAGATATTTATATAATTTATTAAAAATGATTTTATTGTGTTAATTATTTTACTGACAATTTTATTTTTTGTTCACATTTCCTATATAATATTGAGTGGATGGATTTAAGATATGTCCATAACTCGGAGGTTCCAAAATTGGGAAGATATTTTTTTTTGCATTTATTACAAATAGCCTTCTTTTGGTTATCGCAACTCGTATAAAATTTCTAGATCTTTGCTGTATTTCATCATTTATTAGATATTGATGATTGTTCTTATTATTAATATCTCAGCATTATCTATATTAACTAAAACTATTTGATCTTCATTAATTATTATTTCCTAAATGAATAGATAAAAGTTGATATCATGTAAAAAATTTACCTTCATTTGCATAATACACCAAAATTAATATCAAAGTTCAGAAAAGTTAGCATTTGCACTAAAGAAATATCGAATGTAATAAGTTTAGGCAATTTAAAGAAAGAAAGTTAAAAAAAAATACAACTATATAATCATCCATGATAAAACTAAATAATTATTTGTATTTATCTATTTTTAATATTGGTATTGGGATTGATATTGGTTAATATTGTATTTAAACAATATATCAAACCATTAACCAATACCAATATCTTAATTGGTTTATATTGGTATTGGTAGTGTAAAACAATAATATATTAGTATTAGTCCCACCCCTACTTCCTTGTCGACCTGATTTATATGCATGATTTTTAAATTTTATTATAAATAATTATAATATACATGTATTTGACAAAAAGAATGTGGTATCTAATTCTAATATCTTACCCTCATAACATATTTAAAAGACAGTTAAATAACCCTATTCAGTATATTCGATTTTCTAATAAAATATATGAATAAAATATTTTACTAAATTCTTCCTTTAATTTGGAATATTTTTCTTCAAATTTAAAATGGGTCTTATTCAAAAATGAACATTATTTGGAAAATATGTAAAAAAATCTCATGTTCAAAAACAACAACAATCAGCTCGAAAAACGAAAAATATCTCAGACCAGAAAAAATAGGAATAGAAATTTTATTATTATAGAGTTAACAAGACTAAACATCCCCAACTTTATCAAAAAGATATTGGTGGATGGTAACCCTGACACTAAGTATAAATATGAGCAGTCTAACTACAAAAGCTTTATACATCATAATATAGCTAAAAGAACCATAATTCATTCAGTTAATATGCACGATCATCTAATAATAACAGAATTTAAAATAATAATGAATGATTATATAAGATTATAGCCATTTTTTTGATAATAATATTTTTTATTTCCCACCATTGTTTTCCTTGACAAACAAAAGGAAGGAAATTATATTAATAAATAATTTAATGCCACAAGGAAAATTATATTCTTTAAAATAAACTCTAAAATTTTATAAGAAAACTATTTTAAAAAAAATGAATATATTAGTTTAAATGGGTGGGTGCTATTTATTTAAAAATTGTGGGATAATTTTAAAAAAAACTGGGTGCTAATCTATTTTTCAAATTTGATGCTAATTTTAAAAAAAGAGGGTGCTTTAGTCCAACGCACCCCTAGCGGCGCCCCTAATTCTGAATGATAAAGATTTTAAAAAAAGAATTAGCTCATATTATTTAAAGAGATTTTTTGAAATTTTAGAATTGAGGAAGCTACCGAATAAATGTCAAAGATATTTTTTTTTTATTTTTAAAGTAAAGTTAGTTATTATTAATTGGGAAAATTTTGTTTACGTCCTTTGTTCATATTTCTGTATGATAATTTTGGCGTTTTTCAATCACGAGACTTATTTATTTTTCAATTATATTTCGGAAATATTGATTAATACAAATAAGATTGGACATTATTTGATATCTTCTTTTTATCAGCTTCCTAATTTAATAGAATGCAATTATAAAAAATATGAATAAAACTGGACATACAATACTTATTATCCTATGTTTATACCCCAATTATTTTTTATATTATGAACAGGGTTGTATTTGGTCTGATGACTGAGATTGATGAAACTAATGTCATACAACAAGGTGATTAACTAAATGAAGAAATATTCCATTCAATGTCTATATATTGAAAATAACGGAGGTTAAACTTTTTACGATTTATATGTACTCCCCCCCCCCCCATATTTTTTATCTTCACGGGAGTCGATCATCTAAAATATATAATAAGTAAATGGCTCTTAATGCTAAGTTTCGTATTGTATGAATTATTAAATATTCAAAGAGTGGTTTATAATAATTTGTGGTTTTGGTTCCTTAAACTATAAGAAATTAGTGAAAACTGTTAAAGAATATAATAAAATGTTTTCAAAATAATTTGAATAACATATTAATTATGTAAATCTACTTTTATAAAAGAAATCTGATTAAAAGGGAGTAAAGAGGAATACACTAAACAAAAGAAGTTGATAGTTAAAAAAGAATTGGGAGAGGAGGGGGTAGGGGGGGATAAACGAAAGTGATAATAACTTCACATCAACGACGACGAGATATTTTTTTTACATTCTGGAGCAAATAAGGAGCAATAAATGCTAGAGATATCTATAAAAATAATAATGTAGGGATGGATAAAAATTAAAAAAAACATTATAAGTTATGAATAGCTAGGGAATAAAAAGAGCATTTCAATAGGAATCCTAGATGAAATAGTTTAAGGATAAAGAACAAAAGCTAAAATGAAATGAGAAAAAGTAGCATTGAAGAATTAAGATTACAAGGAGATAATGAATACAATTGTTGGGATACAGCACAGAATAAAATGAGAAAAAATTATATAAACTCCAACAACAAAAATAGAAATATGCAAGATTACAGCAAATTTTAAGGTAAAACGCTAGATTTCCTTAAAATATTTTCACTCCAAATCCCTATAAAATTCTAGCCAATTTCTGGATTATGTATACGCTGTCAAAGTCTTAAAATATTAAGAACGAAAATTTAATCGAGTAGGAAATAAAGAGAAATGAGTTAGTATCATTCATAGGAATAAACTTCTGATTTATACTTACAGTATAAATAAATTTAAAGAGAAACCAAAATCTTTTTTAAAATTATTTGTATAACTTATCCTTGAAATTCCCAGACCCTCAATCATTTCTATGCTCCATAAGGATGTAAAGTAATGAATTTTTTGAATATGTTTGATATAGGCCTTAAAAATATAAATTGAATCCTATATATACTTATTAATTATGTAATGAATTACAAAAAAAGAGTTTATTAACTCTTGCATTCACTCCTCCTTTTGTCACAGCTATGTTCATTAACTAGTGTTGTTAAAAAGCCCGATTCAGGTCGACTTTTCAAAACTGCCCGATTAAGATTTTAGCTAAAATGATATTATGTAAGCATCAAGATTTGACAAATAGATGTCCAACATTTCTGTAAGCTATGAGTAAAATATTTGGGCTTACATAATGTTATTTTGGCTATAATCTTAATCGGGCCGTTTTTTAAAATCGACCCGAATTGGGCTTTTTAACAGCACTATCATCAACAGCGTTTGAGCAAGAGAGATGACAAACCAAGATTTACCCCCTATTCTCCAAAAAATTTTTCCTCCATACCAGCCTGAAAGATATATAGAAACAAATTCCCACCCCTGGTCGATGACTTACTTTTCAATTATAGGAACATTTATACACTATAATGGGGGGAGGTTATGATTTCAAATATTGACTGTTTAAATAAAGAGAAAACCTTTTATTGTTTAGAGGAGTTTGAATATTAACCTATATAACTTAAATTTGAAAAAAAAACTATTGAAACCTGAAGGACTTGGAATGTTCAATGTAGTTCCTGCATTTGGGTAATAAGTTAAGGAATAATTCCTACGAAATGGAAGAGAAACAGATGTTAATAGTTGTAGAAAATTGCATAATATATGGGACAAAAGAAGTGGAATTTATTTAGCTATAATAAAGATTAAAACTGACTTTAAATAGATTATTAATAAATTATTTGGTTATGCGGATAAACTATGTAGGTAGTAAGAGAGATCCAAATTAAAATTGGGGCATCGGGTGTAAAAATATATCAAGGTAAAGATTATTAAGAAATAAATATAATGACAAAAATAAAATAAAATAGTTTTTATAAATATTAAAATAATTTTAAAGACTATCTTATACTTAAGCTATTATATTACTCTTATCAGATAAATATATTTATCTTATTATAGTGTATTTTTTTAATAAAACTATGATTATACCATTATATATATATAATACTACGAATAATTTAATGATAAACTTTAAAATTTATAGGTGAAAATTTATAATAATTTTAGTTAGTTCTATAAAAAAAGTTATAAATAATTAATAATTATCATTTTTTAATTTTATAAATTTCTAAAAATAGAAATTAATATAAATATATATTATAATAATACATATTAATATAAATTTTTATAATATTTAAAATAAATTTGAAATCTAAGAAAAAAATCTAACCAACCAATCACAAATCAATAATTTATCGTTTTACCAAGGCAACCTTTGACGTCATTGCCTCTTTTTCCTATTCATAAATATTTATTTTTTACATTATTCATTTAAATTCATTAAAAATAACAACAATATAAATCAATATTTCACTGAGACTAGCTATTGAAACCCATTTTAATCCTAATATCCATTATCTAAGAAACTAAGTAAGTGTAATTTAATTTTAAAATTCACTCATTTTTAAATTCTATTATAAATATTTTAACATTAATCAAATGTGTTCATTTTTTTAATGTGTTTGTTTATATTAATTTTGAGATGGCACATTTATTATTTTTTTTTATCATTACATAAATTCTTAAAATATTTTATCAATTTTGTTTATTGTGAGAGAACGAAAGTTATTAGTCATCGGCCATTTTCTTCCGCCTGATTTCCGTTTATCATATTATTGCATAATCTTGTACTATTTTCTATATTTATTTGAATTGAACTATTTTCTTACTACATCGATATTTAAATCATTTTAATTTACATGTTTTTTTTATTTTGATGAAAATCGATTAAATATTATTTGTCATATCATTTCACAATCTTATTCGAGGATTTCTTTCGTTTAAAATAAAGGTAAACAAATAAAAAAAAATTCTTAGTTAAAACTTAAGGTGAGAGTTAAGAGCAAATTATTTTTATAAATTTGGCATGGATGCTATTCATATTAAAATAAATTCTAGATATTTTATACCAAAAAAATATGCTTCATTTGATTAGATTTATAGAATTTTTTTTTTACAGATTTTCATTCTTTGATTACAACTAAATATGGCTACCCCTGGCACTGATAATAAGGAGGAGTTGGTTCAAAAGGCCAAATTAGCTGAACAGGCTGAACGATATGATGATATGGCTGCTGCTATGAAGCAAGTGACAGAAACTGGTGCAGAGTTGAGTAATGAGGTTATTTTCCCCATATTTATTATGCTTTTATAGCCATTTAATCTTATGATCTAACTATCATGAATATAGCAAAATTTTAATTATGGGTGCTTTGAATTTGTATACTTAATCAAAATATATATATCATAAATAAAAATACTAACTGTGAAACCAAATTTTTAGCCTGAGTACTTTATAAATATTGAAATTTCTTTGTTAAGGCATACATAAAAATTTTCAAAACTTTAAAATTTGTAAAATTTTACAAAAGGAAAGAAACCTATTATCTGTTGCTTACAAAAATGTTGTTGGAGCCAGAAGAAGTAGCTGGAGAGTAATAAGCAGTATAGAACAAAAAGCAGAGAACAGTGAAAGCAAACAAACCATGTCCAAGGAATACAGGGAGAAGGTTGAAAAAGAGCTCAGGGATATTTGCTATGATGTATTGGTGAGTTTCAAATTTTTCATTACAATATAAGTTATTTCATATTGTACAATATTTAATAATACTTCAAAATAACCTAATCATTTCTCATTTTATATAAATTTTAAAAAAATCATATTACCTAGGGTTTACTGGACAAATATCTTATACCAAAAGCAAGCACTCCAGAGAGTAAAGTTTTCTATTTGAAGATGAAGGGTGATTATTATAGATACCTAGCTGAAGTCGCAACAGGAGAACAAAGAGATAGTAAATTTACATTTTTAAAAAATATAATATATACGTTTGTATTATAAATTTGTTTCAACTAGCTATAGTAAAAAATTCCCAAGAAGCTTACACAGAAGCATTTGATATTAGTAAAGAGAAGATGCAACCTACTCACCCTATAAGACTGGGACTGGCTCTCAACTTTTCGGTGTTTTATTATGAAATTCTGAATTCACCAGACAAGGCTTGTCATTTGGCCAAACAGGTAAATTTTATTGCAACATCTCTTAATATAATTTATAAGCTCTTGATATAGACATTCATTTTTTATAAAAAATCAATATTTTAGGCATTTGATGATGCTATTGCAGAGCTTGATACATTGAATGAAGATTCTTATAAAGACAGCACACTCATTATGCAACTCTTACGTGATAACTTAACTGTAAATCAATCTAAATATTTGACATTTAAGGCTTGCTTATATAAAAAAATTAGTAGTAAATTACCTAAACTATAGGTAGGATAGAATGAGAAATCTAAGGTTATTTTGTAAAAATTAGCACAAATGTTTATTTTATTTGTAAAAAAATTTCAAAAATGCTTAATCAAGTTAGGAAATTGGCTATAAAAATTTTTGGCTCTATTTTTTATTTTAAAAAATCTAAAATTAGCTCTGGACATCTGATACTGGAGATGCGGAAGAAGAAAATCAAGAACCAACCTAATCTTTTGTGCATGTTGTCTAATTGAATTTTTTTTACAAATATCTCATTTTATATATATATCTTTTTTTCTCTCATCCTTCACTTAACTATCTAATGCGACATGAATAAAATATCCATTCATTCATATAATTATTAATTAATTTATCATTGGTTGTATGTAAACTTATAAATATAAATTTTTTTGCATGCCACAAAAAAATTTTAAGATATAATTTTAGCCAAAAAATTATGAACATAAAAAGGCTTCTTATCCTGATTATTTATTTAGTCCCTTTTGTATTTATAATATCTAGTATAAATATTTAACATTTTTTTTGGTATGTGATAAATATAGCAAAAGTGTTGGCCATAAATAACCCATTCTATTTTACTACATAGATATTACAATATTATAATTGATCAATTTCTTTTTATCACACATTAATAAGAAAGGTTTAACTTATCAACATGGTTTTTATAATTTTTTTTATTATAACTAGTAATCCAGGCAATGAAAATAAAACTATTCTAACTTTTTTTTTAAAAAAAATCATTTTGTTGAGTGTTATTTAATTTTTATTCACATCTTTATTGAATATTTTCTTTCTTTATTTTAGAAATGTATCTAAAACTAAATTTGATATTAACCTGAAAAATTATTATAAAATATAAATAGTTGTATATTTTTAAAAAAATAAATATTTTTAAAAAATTATAAATTTTTTCAACAAATTTTATTTTGTATTTTTTATTAATTTTTTTTTGCTTTTTACATATATACATATAAATAACAAATACAATAATAACTACAAATGTCAGCTGGCTATCTCTTTGATTATATAATCTTGTTAAATTTTATGAATTGTTTTGGCATTTTGAATGTCCTTTTTGGAAATGGTTGATTAAGTATATCTGTTTGCCAGTATTTATGGCAGATAAATTTTAATAAGATAAGATTTATGTACTGTACATTAGAGTACAATTCCTGCCTGAATGAGTTTTGGGCCAGGTCTGTTTTTAAAAAATGATTTAGATTTTGACTGTTGGGCCTAATATTTTTTAAAAAATGATTTAGATTTTGACTGTTGGGCCTAATATTTTTTAAAAATTTTGGACTTAAATATGATATTGACATTTTGTCAAATAAATTGATATATTTATAATAAATTTGACCAGGTCGGGATTGACTGGGTTGGACAAATGTTTTAAAAAAAATCTGGGCTGGGTTTGTAAAGTTAGGCCCTATGCAGATCACTACTCATCCTTATTTATCGAAATACTTAGATGGAATATATAAAAACGATTATAATTTTAAGATCTTGCAATATTTTTTTTGTCTATTAGTAAAAAGATCTGTAATGATTCCCAATTTCTTTATATATCAATATCACTTTAAATTCATTTAACGTTTTTTGTTGTAAGACAAATTTGAGCTTTAAAAGTCAAGCTTTGGGAAATACAAAATGTTTTATTCTAAAAATCGATATTTTTTTTAAAAAAAATAATCAAAATTTTTTTATTTATACAAATCAATAATCTTATTTATTTGAAAATGTGTAACAATTTCTTAAAATAAATAACTGAATTGTTTTCTGACTAGTGAAATTATAGATTTAAAATATATTGATTTTTGAAAGAAAAAAATTATTTAGATTTAATAGTAACAGTATATTAAATAATTGTTATAAAACATGATGAACTTAACAGTTTTTGGGCATTTGAACTAGAGATTAGGGGATATAGCCGGGTATTAAATTGCTGCTTAGGTAAAAAAAAAATTGGTACTTACCAGAGACCTTTAAGGGCTCGCCCACATTTGACTCGATTTGAGCCGATTTTTAAAAATGGCGAATTCATTATTTTATCCAAGTAAAGATTACACAATCCTGAAGAATTTGCTCATAGACGATACAAAGGTTTGGACATTCTCGAAGATTTGGCAATATTTTTCTGGCTAAAATATAAAGTTAGCCTTTTAAAAGTCGGATCAAACTGAGCCATTTAGCTACGTACGCTACACAATATTATTTATACATAACCATATTCTACCGTTGGTGGTAAAATTTTTTTCTCCAAAACATTTTTTCTAACAATTGCAAACAAAATGATGGTCAATATAGGTCTGCATTGGGCGGATTTTTAGCCCGCCCAAATTTTTGGCAGGCGTGGTCGGGTTTTTTTAATATTGAGTGGGTTAATTTTTAATATTTTTCAGGCGAAAGAACAGAAAGACTTCAATTTATTAGAAATAATAGTTTTATTTAATGATATTAAATACGTTTAATTATAAATATATTAAAATAAAGCCAAACCAGCCATTAAAATAATTTTTAATCATTAAGCGGGCGTGTTAAACAAAATTTATAGATAGTTTGAGCGTACGACGGGTAAATTTTTTTTTAAAAATAAATGGGCTTGCAGGCGGATTAGGAAAAATATAAAACAACTAAGGACGGCATTTTGACTAAGAACCCGCCCATTGCAAACCTATAATGGTCAACAAATATTATATAATTAAATAAAATATTTTAGCATAATTATATAAAATAATTTGATGTGCTTAAAAAAATTTTTGAAACTTGTTCACTGCAAACCAGATAAGGACTGCTACATCCACTAATTTAAGCATATTTAAATTAAATTCATCAATTTTTATTTATATCGTTTCCTGATTATTATGGTTCTATAGGAAACCTGATATTTAGCTCATTTTTTTTAGAAAATATAGACATAATTACACTATTGGAAATCCATTTTTTTGCAATTTCATTATAGCACTAGCCTTTTTTGAAAACTGCTAAAAAAATGGCGATGAAACCTTCTATGTATCAATTTTATTTAAACAAGAGAGATAGGAAGGCTTTAGGTTCTATTTCCATGGGTAAAATATAAATAGCTATAAAAAAAATATATAAACTACAAAACCTTAAATGTCTATAAATGTTTTTAGATGTATTTACCGCGCAAAAACGTTAGAACCTGAAGAAATCAACCCATATCTTTTTTGCCAAAAATCTGTTTTTTGAAATTTTATTTTCTCAATACTCTGAATTCACAGTTAGTGCTGATTTTATTGCGAAGAATACAGATATCTATATTTATAAGTGAATACTTGCTAACTATGAATTCGGGGTTATTTTTTATGCTGTCTCTAACTACAATAATTAGTCAATTATTACTCTAATTGCATTATTCATTATCAGAAGATATAATATGATGTATACCAATAATATGCAATTTTATTTCAGGCTCTGTTTCTCTATATTTTACAGAGACCCACATGGACACCTATTGACGATCCTGCCAAACCCTTATTTGATAAAAAAAAAAAACTTTATTATACAACCTGGCCTGGAATTATTAAAATTTCGTTACAAATACTTTTGGATGTATTTTATAAATTATTTTAAAAGGAAAATTAACAGGCCCAATTTTGCCAGGTCGAACTTTTCTAGGCGTATTTGCTCTCATGTAGATGCCGCGTGAAGTTTAGTCACCTCATGCATACTTACGTTTTTTTTCATCGCTTCTCACAAATGTGAATAGCTTTAAAAAGATAAAGCGTTGTTTGGGGATACAAGATTATGTTCAACACGCCCTAAATCCATCTAAATAAAAGTTTTGTGTCTTACTTAAAAAAATATTATAAAATTATTTTTGACTTTTAATTAGGGGATTAAAACAAGGAGAAGGTAATTAAAATAATAATTTTTTTTGATAAATTCTAAGAAAGAACGACTGACTGAGAAGCTCTAAAGATGTGATTGGAACGATAACCTGAAAACTGCAAATGAATGAGAACAAAATGAAAATTACAAATTGATATGAATGATTATTATTATTACAATTTAATCTAAAATTAATAATAAAAAAATAAGATTTAATCTATATTATTTATTATTTTTTTTATATATAATGCATGATAAATGGTAATGGCAAATCATGGTATATAAAGGGAGATATAGTACTTATGGCAAAAGATCATTGTGCTCAAAATGTTAAAATTAAAAATAGAAAAGGGCATATGGAAATGATCTGACCTTGTCCGAAATTTCAAAATATTCAGTTTGCTCCCAAATTTTTTGAAAGAGGGTGGGGTAGGGAGTAGGCATATAGGTGTGGAAGGGGGGGTTAGAGATAGGTATCGAATGGGGGTTAAATTTATGGGGGGTACCAATTACATTTTTGGTAAAATTAGTTTATTAAAGATTAAAATTAATTAACAGATTTCAATAATCGTCATTTCTTAAATCGTGTCGGATCTGATCTCACTATGAATCCATCCTAAGTTTTAACTTATATAAACGAAACTATGCATCATATTCCATAATAATCACTTTCCCTTTTAATTTTCCTCAGCTAATCGGGTCCAAAAATATTAGGTAACCCCGAGAGGACCCCATCCACAAATTTTGTCAAGGCTCTTTATTACATTCTTAATGTTATTAGCTAAACACTCCCTTTGATGAATTAATTATTGACTTAACCTTAGCTCTTAGAAACACGATGTTAAAACCCGAATATTCTCTAAGATGGTATATTAAATTCATCTAAGTTCAAGAAACGATCAAGACTCATAGAATCAAATATGGAAGACTCAATGGACGATCATAAATGAATCTAAAGCCATGACTATGATAAAATTGATATAACTATATTGAAAATAATCGGAATTATAACTCATTTCTAAAATGGGCCTCTCAGTACAACTTTGAAATATCAATTTTAAATGGTGAGAAAGAGAATATTTCAAATTAACAAGATAATAACAATACTTAAACTGCTTCTTACCTTCCTCCACAATTGTAGTCATTAAACAAAATTCAAATTACTATGATTTTTTGCACATGATTAACCATTTTTCTAACAAAAGCTACTACAAAAAAAAGACGATATTCACACAAATGTGACATCATCAGCATGGCATAAGCGGAACTATTAAATGAGTATCTTAGTCAAGATTCTCTGAACTAGAGGTCTGCAATGGGCGAGTTTTAGCCCACAAGCCAATCCCGTTCAATATTTTTTTTAAAAATTCAACCCGTCCGGCCAATCCACCCATAGTTTTTGAAAAATATATACATTCTTTACCCGCCCGCCCATTAGTCTAAAATTTTTTACCGGCCGGCCAATTATTTATCTAAAATGTTTAACTCACGCCACCCATATAAAATTCAAATAAGCTCATTCTTTCAATTTTTTTAAGCATCTAATAAAAAATGATTTAGTATACGAGATACATCTTTAAAACAATATTCAATTTAAATTACCGATAAGGAATTTATTTGATATAATAAAATATTTATGTATTAACATAAAATTAATAATTATTGAAACTAAAACCTTGCAACAATGTTAAATAATAGAATGTTTAGTTGAAATGAAAAACTTTAATCAGTTAAGGTTTATAAATCACGATACAGTGTTCGTTTGTAAAAATAAAGAGTGTCTTATTCAATGACCGATTCACTTGGGCCTAAACTGCGGGGTGAGAGTTGGGAGGGGGGGGGTCAGGAACCACCTCAGAATTTGTCCTCCCCAACAACGAACCTTTTTTTATACCACTATATTTGGAAATGAATTTATAAAAATAATAAATATTATTCTAATCAATTACTCTAATCGTTAAATACTAACTAACGTTAAATATAAATTCCTAATTATTACTAATTAATTGATATTCTAATCTTCATATTAGCCAATTTTATTTTAAAATAGTCAAAAAAATGACTTAAAATATGTAATTTCTTATCAAAATACGCGATAAAACGACAACTCCCCCCCCTCTCCTGATAAATAAAATGGTTACAGATTTGATAGTCCC